AATGATAAAAAATAAACACAATTTTAAAAAGTTTCTAAACTGARCTGAATCACAAATTGTAAACTTACCTGTTTATTGATAACAAGTTGAGCACCAATGATTCACATTATGCATTTGAGTTGTTTTCGCTTTCCCTTCAAGTTTAAGTCTTCATGCAAGTAACTATCAATARAGGATCACTTTGTTAACTAGATAGCTTCATTCAATGCTTCATACGATCGGTTCGGGATAACGAGAAGGCAGTGACAACKTGTACGTACATGCTGAAGACCATCTTAATTGGAAAACCTTATTTATTCAGCTGAACACTTAATTAACAACTTTGTTTAGACGCCTAATCTCCATGTTACGTCATAGCTTTGGATAATTGCCACTTCCTTTCGGTACTTTAGCCAATCAAATCGCTTCTTCTATTCTTATTAATCATATGAGTTTAKTTTCAAGATGGTTGTATTTTGCTAGAGACTCTTTGATATTGCAGTTTTTGACATATTCAAATATGACTATTTGATTAATTTAATTCAAGTCATTCAAAAATTACTGTCAAATTTCCCACAAGTTGCCTTCTATTTTTGGGAGCCACTAGAGTAGCGATCTGAATAAGCGCAAGAATAACTCGAGGCTACGAGAATTATCGGAAGCATTTCAATCAACTTTTCTTCGGCTTCCTTCAATATTCCGAAAAAATTCATTTTTGGTTTCCTTCGATATTTCCGAAAAAATCCCGACTGCTTCGCAATTGAAAGCTAGCCACTTCGTACAAAAAGTCGAGACGCTTCGATTTCAGTTCGGATACTTTCGTGCAGTATTCGGGAGTGGTTGGYAGGTATAATTTGCCTTCGGTGATCGYTCGGTAATTAAATTTCATGGAAGACAAATGGGTTTATTCAAAGATAACGGTCACAGGAAAGAAGAAATTTCAGATTTAATCTTSGAAAACCACAAGTCACCTTGAAGTGACTTAAGTGTTTTCAAGGTGTGTAGTGTTTACTGGGAACTRCGCGGAAGTTAGAAGSCATAARTAAACACATTTAATATAATTTCTTGTAGATTTAGACATATAGTATAAAAATTATCCCCACCAAAAAAATTTTTCTTCACCAATCTTGGGCTCTCTCTACTTTGTTTTTTCTAGGATCCATTTTTCAAAATTGTTTTTTAATTTTGTCATTGTTATTTGAAGACCTGTCTTCATCAAAGTGAAATAGCTAAAAGTAAAAGCAAATAGAAGATTAAATTTATTGACATTTTTGAAAGTGTCAATCACCATAGAGTGCATTGATTATAACCGTGAAACACTTAGTAAGAAAGACCATTTCACGGTTATCTCCGCCTAGTACACTCATTATATGTCGTTGGTAATATCTATCTTTCTTATGTTTTGTTTTGTTTTGTTTCGTGTTTTTTTCCTCAGCCAGAAGGAATCACGTTCTTTTTTTCAATTAACGTTGATAAAGGGAAGTCGTCGATATGAGACCGATTTGAATTTTTAGATTTCTCCGAAATTAGCAAATGCAACCGAATTTGCAAATTCAATTCTCGCACGCAAGTGCTTTCGTTCTAGAGCCAAGTATTCAGTCAAGTTGATAACCGCAAAATGGTCGATATGAAATAGATTTGAATWGTTTTTTTAAACACTTGGTTCTCAATTCGGCAGCAGCACTAGCTACACCAGTTCTATATATTCGGCTACTATAAGTTTACACATCGCATATTTATAAGAATGCATGGTTAATAATAAACATTCATCGCAGACTAAGTATACGCCCAGAACAAAAGGAAGGCTAAAGGACATTATTAGACAACATAAGACATCAAATAGGCATAGCGTTAATCATAGGAGAAAGACAACTAAATAAACAAAGAAAAAACACCTTCCTTTTTGTCATTTTAATTCCTAAATTTTCTTTCTCTCTCACCCTCATGCTTATGTATGTAGTGGCTACCAGCAGCAAACCAGTGTGAGCTGCGTCAGTGTTTCTAAGAAAGAGTTTTGTAAAAAGATAAATTAATAATAATTTAAGGTAAAACAACTTACTAACGTTTCGGACGTTAGTCCTTCGTACTTTTTGACGGTTAAATTTATATTTTTACACAACTACATGTAGTACTCTGTCGATACTGTAAAATGGCCGTGGTACAACACCACAGATTTCTAGATTACTTAAAACAAATAGCATTTATTTCCAGAGTATTTTGCCTCGGGAACTACATTTGAAGACGTGTGGTGACTCAGAATGAATAACCAGAGCACGTCAGTGAACGTGTATATTTTCATATGTAGCTTGAGGAAAAAAACTTTCTTGCAACTAACAAGAGATTTG